AGGAAAAGATAAAGAAAACACCTGCCATTGGTGCAACTACATAGAAGGGGACAGTCCACGGTGTCCTCTGAGATGAGGTAGCATGGAAGAATACTTCCAGAAAACAAACGAAAAATGAACTTGATAAGTCAAGCACTAAATACTGGTGCATACATTCTGATGTCACCTTCCAATTGATAGAAACACATTCGCTGCTCTTGGTGCTCTTGGCTAACCACGGAACCAGCTACCCCTTGAGTTCCTGATCACATCATCCTGCTGCGGTGTACAGTGTGCATTCAAACCTTGGGAAAGAGGGCACCACTGACAAGGTACACATGCTGAGGAGGGCAAGGCACACAGCACAGGATGAAGCTGAGAGCGCACGATTTTAGCGCCCCATCACAGTTATGTTCACATGAAATCTTGCTCTGGTCCTCTCTCCCGCCCTTTTATTCCCTCCTCTTTTTCGTCTGAAAAGGGCCAGGCTCTGCAGCACAGACTGGCATCAGAGGTGCCAGGATTTCAGGCGCTTGCTCTGCTTCTCCATTACAGTGGTAAAGTCTGCCTTCAAGTTCTACCAACGACGTAGACTGCAATGTAAAACTAGCATCTCATCAGCAATACCTGCGTATAAATACTCAAATATCCACTGCTCTCCTGCCTCCATAATTCAAATTCAATGGTGTAAATCTCTCTGATAAAAACAACTAATCATGAAAACTTGAATCTAGAACTAATGTTTTCTACAATTCCTATTAGAAGAGCAATCTTCATTAAAAAGGAAAAGTGTTTTTGTGCAGCATTTATAAATATAGAATTACTAAACCTTTTGAAAATATTTGTCTTTTGGGTTCATTTATTTTTATTTTTTGAGACAGGATTTCTTTGTGGGTAGCCCTGGCTGTCCTGGAACTTGCTCTGTAGAATAGGCTGGCCTCAAATTCACAGAGATCCACTTGCCTGTGTCTCCCAAGTGTTGGGATTAAAGGCGTGCATCAACACCACCTCGCAAGTTTCTTAATTTTTAATCTTTGTTTCACGTCCCCAGAATAGGACATGGAAGAATGGATATGGTTTAGTTTGGACACAAAGCCATCAATACGGTGATGGGAAAAACCATTCTTCTTGTTTAATTTTCAACTTTCATCCCCTTTCCCGTAGCCCTGTGCTTTCTGACAGGTATATTAACGAGGTATTTTGTTTTGTTTTTAAGTAAGAAACCATTTTATCCTCCAGTGTAGAAATGTGGAATTTTATTCTGTCTCAGTTATCAGTTCAGTACATGAGACATTTTCTAAACAAATACTGGTTGACTAAATAGTTTCTCTTTATCTTATCTTATCTAGTCCTAATTCTTTCTCTTCCCATATTATATAACATTATCAGAAAATGAATATAATATATTTGTACCTTCTACATATACCATGTGCAATCACTAAGGAAAACTTTTTGCCAGATCTACATACATTTGTGTAAATATAAACAACCATGAATGCTATCGTTTATCAATCAAAATATAAAAACCTAACATTTAAGGAACCATTTAAAATTTATTTTTGCTATCCATTTTCTTCTTAAACATTTAGCAAATTTACTTTAATGTGACTCACTGCAAATGAACAATATAGTCTTACACTGACATATGCATCCTGCAACAAGGTCTAATCGCTGCAAAGATAACAGCAATCATAACAGCATTTGTTTAATAAAGTCATTATGGTAAGGACTAGAATTATCATAAATACTCATTAGTGACAATTCTTTTTCTTTGTAAAACCTGAATTCAAAATAAAAGATATAAAATATCCCTGGTTTACGGTAAAATAAAAGTTTCCAAAAATGTTGTATAAGAATTTAAGTTACATTTAGTTTGAATCAATCTATGATTGTAATATCAAGTATCAAAACACAAAGCTGTTAGTAATAACCATACATATTTTCCTCAGAATAAAGATAGTTAGCTTGATCCTAAAACATAAAAGGAAATTTAAGAATTTAAGTTGTTATAATGAACAGGTAACAGCAACATTTTTTATGAGAAATTGTAGTAGTTACTTCTTGTTATCTTAAGAAATATAAGTTTCCTAGAGACATCAACCTGGCCCTTAAAATTTACAGGTCCACAAGCACCTTGTACTCAGCACCCTCAGTAAGCTGAGTACAAGATAATTATCTCATTAGCATATACTCATCTCCCTTGCCCTCATAAAATAAAGGGGTCTTCTTGTCCTGAAGAAACGGTGATAGCGGCATTTAAAAGTGGAGCGCTTCACGCCTTTCATCCCAGCACTCGGAAGGCAGAGGCAGGCGGATCTCTGTGAGCTCGAGGCCAGCCTGGTCTACAAGAGGTAGGGCTGTTACAGAGAAACCTTGTCTCGAAAAACCAAGAAAAGGTGGGCACTTCTGTCATGCACTTCTGAGCTTTGCCCACCATGCCAGGTTTACCAGTAAGAAGCTCTGGCTCTGAGCAAGCCTCAGTGCTCCTGTCTTCTCTGTATAGCGCAGAGACAACACACGAGACTCACTCTTTGCTACGCTCTTGGAAGAAACAGACTCTTTCCGAAAGTGTCCTCTATGAATTAGCTGTGACATGATCATAATTTCCACAAATCAGAAAATGGTTGTTTCAACTATATGACAACTCAATGTAACTATCAAGTTAGATATGTAACAAAACAGACTCAAAATTACTGGCTTACCATCAAACCACAAGATGTGCTTTACTAAAGATGTTTTTCTGTTTACTGCATGCTATAAAGACCTGACAGAGTACAGATACATCTTGAAGAAGAAAGGAAATACACACAACTCAATGGTATACTAAGTGGGAAAACGCCTATGCCAATCACCCTCTCTTTATTTTGAGAAAAGCACAATATGAAATGGGGTTTTGATATATTAATTTAAATTTGACATATAAACAGGTGTTGCTTCACAAGTAAAATTTGTGCAATATAAAAATCAAGTTCTGCTATAAAGCTGGATTGCGCTTCAGAATGACATTTTCTGCACTTTTCCCTTCCAAACAGATGTAATTAAAGCAAACCCTTCATCTTGAGATGAAGTCTGCCTGCACTCTGCTGACTGCGCCGTGCACTGCACACGCCGGGACCTCAGCGGCTTCCGTTAAGGGGTAGCAATTGCTCTTCTGCCTTCCTGCAGCTTCTCCCCAGGCCGCCTTCCTGCTCTCCCAGCCTCTCCAACTAGGTCCACAGGGAGAGGAGCATGATCTAACGCACCTGTCCTCCAGCTCGACCTGGGGATTACCACTTCTTTCAGAGAATCATGGACCAGGTGGTGTGGTGCATGCCTGGAATCTGATCATTTAAGAGGCTGAGGCAGGAGGATTATGGGTTTGATACTAGCCTGGGCTAATCATAGCAAGTTCAGGTCCACCTTGGGCTAAGAGTGACGTGCTGTTTCAAACAACAAAACCAGCAAGAAAAACAAGTGCCAGAGAAGGAGAGCACTGCCCCTGCTGTCTAACTGCTCTCAGGCCCCAAACTGCACTGGGCTACCCCAGGAAACCAGTAAATCTCAAGGGACACAGAGACTTAATAAGCTTTTTCCAATCTTTAAAGTTTTTTTTTTCAACTCAGCAATTACCTTTTGTAAATTATGTCAGAATTTACGCCCTTTAGAATCTTATTTTAAGGGTATTGCCTTCTTTTCCCCAAACAGTCTCTACTCTTGGTAAAAAGGCTTTGCAAGGCCTACTTTTACTCATCTTTAAAAGAAAGCAAGAAAAACAAACTGAATTCACGCTAAGAACACAAATTAAAATCAAATTTAAACTTGTTGGTAAAAGGAATCAATCAGACTCTCAGATCTAGAAGATATAAATCAAAGACTTTTGCAAACCAGCCTGACGGTAATTCCAGTGTAGCCATCAGTTGTGGTAGAAGCTAACACACACCCAGGCACAGCAAAAGATGAGATAACTTTGAACGTGAACGAAAAGGAAAGAAGCCGTGTTACTAATGGGCAGCCCCTACACAGCCGAGCGGCTTTACCTGTCGTCGTCCTGGGAGAGGCTCCTTTGCAAGGGCTCTTTACTCCGGTGTCCTCCTGCCCCTGGATCCGGAGCATCTCGGGCTTTCCCCTCATCTCCTGGTTCTCTGCTTCTCTCCTCACTGCCTGTCTCTGTACTCTCCTTCCCTCTCCCAGCTCCACCAGTTATTTCCTCCTTTACCGCTGGCTCTTCCTGAACTGTCTCTTCTTGCTTAGCCCCTCCTTCCCCACCCTCTTCTACTCCCTTTGTCCTTTCAATGAAACACAAGTGGAAGGCATGCAAAGAAACACAAAGAGAAAAAAGAAAAGTCAAGAAAAACAAATGCTAGTGAAATGAAACAGAGACAATGAAGACACTCAAAACTTAGGTGACACGTAAATCGTTTAAATGTTTTAAAGTGCATTTTCTCACTGCATATCAAAGATAGTAAGCAATGGCTAAGCAGGCTAGCTCTAAAATTGCATCCTAAGTTACAAAAACCACGGGAAGCAGGTTGGGTCTGCAGTCTCTCCAGCAGAGAGAGCTCCAATACCCACGAAGCAACAAGACAAGAGGGAACGGAAAGAAAAACTAATGTATATTAAATTTTCTTGAGGCAGTGAAGAAGGCTTCCATGTATTTTGATATTTTCAAGGGGGTAGGAAAGCCTCTTATTAAAAAGTAATAGCTCTTTTAAATTAATAAAATATATTCAACCATAAAAAACACCCCAGAAAAAATTGTTTCCATAATCATCATAATGTTACATTCACACCTTCAGTTAACCTTTATTTTAATTTTATAATGATCTAACAATTGCAGTCTAATTTTTAAGTTACAAGCATAGAGGTAATTCAAGCAATTTAGTATAAAAAAACTGTCATCAGTACCATAAAAACTGACCAAGATAAAAAATAACACATACAGAATATCCTATAGCTTTTACAGATTATACCAATATTCTATATTTATCCAAAGAAAGAGGGCCCTCTGATACACACGAGCAGTTACACCCAAGTGCCCTTACCTGATTCTTCTGTCTCCTCTCGGCCGCTCTGATTGGACGGACATGTAGCTTGTGCTGCTGAAACGAGAAGCACTACTAGTCCTGGACACCGCAGATACATCACTTACATCACTGTCGGAGGACTTAGTGGAAACAGTATCTGCCCCTCTATGTGGATCCCATCCTGATCGATACTGTTGACACAGATTGACAAACACGCAGAAGCTGTCAGTATTACCACACAAGGCAATTGTTAGCTTGCTCCTATTTCAGCTCTTAATTGTCCACGAGGGCACTGCAATACCCCACTCAGTTGCATTTAAAACAAAAGTGAATGGTAATTGTCCTAAAACAAGAATTAAATTTATATGAAACCTTTGTTTTTAGCAAAGTAATTGCAGCATTTCCACCACACCCAATGAGGGCCATTAAAAGTTTCAGAACAGCAATGGCCTCAGGGAAGAACATTTAGCTAAAATCTGGGAAATAAACATTTTGCTTAACAGTAGGGAGCGCGACTCTTAAATTTCTGATTAAAATTTGAAAGAAAAAAGATTTGGTCAAGTTGTCTCTGTAGCTATAAAGACCAATTCAACTTTATCTTTAATCCACTGTGATTCACTGAAAACCTGGAGATAACACAAAATCTAATTAATGAAAACTAGCAATTTTAGAAAAGCCAAGAGAAAAGAGAAGTTTAATTTCTGAGCAGTTGCAGGAATTTGGACGAACCCTAGAAATATTAGAAAAGGTTGTTATTATTTACCAACAGCTCAATCTTCCTGGAATGGAAATAATTAGATAGATAAGTAGCAAAGTCAGGGTTCAGGGGATTCTAGGGAGCTCAAATATTCTGGTAAATTTAAAACCAACATAAATATTTCATGTTAATGACCTATTCTCATAAAATACATTTAATGTTAAAACTAATGGATACAATTTAATTTTATTACAGCAAAAGATCAGTTGCCAAGAGTCCTCAAGCTGAAATTTAAAAGAAGAAAAGAAGAAAGAGAGAAAAAAAAGAAAAGATGTGGACCTTGGCGCCTGGAATCTTGGCGCAAAGGAGACTCGCTAGCTGAGCAGAGTTGGGCAGATTCCTTAATGTTTAATAATGTTATCATTAAATGACAAGAATAATCATATCCTTGCACGATTGTTTTGAAAATTAGAACAATATGTGTTCTGTTATATTGCACCTCGTATCAGGTTAATTAGTGACATATTCTGACTGTTATCTCCAGCTGGAGTCTTCCTCTGAAATCCACCCAGCGCGGCTGCTGCTGTCCATGGTGCTGCATAGGAGAGCACCTGCTGCTGGATCTCCGCCTATGCCCCTCCACACCTTGGGTCGGCAGTCTTATTTTTAAGAATCATTGTTAGTCTAGTTTTGGAGAACTTTCTAAACACAGATACAGGCGAGTTTTACAAAGTTTTTAAAAAAATATGTAAAAAGCCGGGTGCTGATGGTGCACACCTTTAATCCCAGCACTTGGGAGGCAGAGGCAGGTGGATCTCTGTGAGTTTGAGACCAGCCTGGTCTACAAGAGCTAGTTCCAGGACAGGCTCCAAAACCACAGAGAAACCCTGTCTTGAAAAACCAAAAAAAAAATATGTAAAAAGGTCAGGAATAGTGGCTCAGCATAACTATTTCACAGATACAAACATTTTGGCCAATACCACGTGAATGGCAAGTGGCTATAGCTTAAACACTTATAACCAAATGACTTGCTCTGTTTCTTCTGGATCTCACAGTTTTTATTAAAAAACTGACTCTTCAAATAAAGGGACTGTTTCTAAGATGCTATAAAACATTAATAATCAAATTTATTAATCTAGAAATTCGTAATTAAATCAGTTAGCAACCGATTTTTTTGGTTCACCTTATTTTTCAACTTTAATTATCAAAAAAAAAACAATTAAATTATTCAAAACACTGCTGCCCCTTTTACCCAGGAAATGTTTATACAAAGAGAATGATACTGTTTATTAGTTAGAATAACATTGTTTATTTTTAGTTCACTTATTTGGTAAAAATTTAGCTCATAATATTCTTTTTTAAATAAATCTATTTAAAAGTACCAATTTACTTAACTTACTATTATTACTGTATTATTTCAGTAGGTACATTCAAGATTTTCTGTTATGCATCCACCTGTACATCTAATTAAGATATGTGTGAACAACTGTAATAGATTATATTTATATTTTCCACTAAATAATATATGTGTGAACAACTGTAATAGATTATATTTATATTTTCCACTAAATTTAAGGTACATTGACCTGAAGTTGAGACACATATGTAAATCTTCAATTTTATTCATGTATTTTTTAAAATTTCAATTACAAAAAATGTTTTAATTGTTCAAAGATATTGAACTGTACCTGGGGGGAATCTTTATTTTTCTCATTTCTATAATTTATAAATAAAGAGAGGCTAGCTGCTACCATTTATACTGTGCATGTAATTATATCATAATTAGAAAAGCAGTCTAGCATTATATTTCTTACTTGCCTTTGCTCAGGAGACCATTAGATCTGAATTCAAATGAAAAACAAAAAGCTTTAATTGTAGCAGGAAGCAGAGACAATAACAGTCATTAAGCTCCAGGTTTCTTAGTGAGACTGAAGTCCAGCCGTATCAATTAGTGTGTTTACTCTCTTGGACCAAGTGCTTTTATGAGTGTCTCGGTTATCAATGTTAAAACAGAGCCTTTCTGTCAGGTTTGCTGCACGGATTAACAGAGCAGTGCCCGTGGCTAGAGCAGTATTTAAACATTATAAGAGTTTAAACGCAAATGAGACTTTGTTTCTAAATCTTACATTTGAATGCAAACTGCTGAAGGCCTGGGAAATACTTTCCTCCATTTGTGTTTCTCTTAGATAAAGCAGGTGACTGCTGCAAATTCAAGGCCAGCTTGGGCTTCAAAGCAAGACTGCCTAACAAAATTACAAAGAACACTCAGCAGTCTCCTAGAAAACTGCTGCCGGTGAAGAGCAGTGCCTAAGGCATAGGGTAATTAAAAGAGAAGGAATTAAATGATATCGCTTGTATCAAGAACAGCAAATAGCTAAAAGCTGTAGCTTGAAGGCAGAATTGGTATATTACTCAAGACTGTACCATTCTGCTGACTTCTAAGCAACTAAGCATGTTGAAGACACAGGGATGTCTGTGTATACAACCATAAAGAGACACGTATAAACTGAATGAGAAACTTAAAAAGTCAGAACAAGAAAGTCATTTAAAATTACATTATTTGTGTGTGTGTGTGTATCTGTGTGCGTGCGTGTGTGCGCGCGCATGCGTACACGCAAGTATGTGCATGCATTTCACAGTACAGAAAGCAGGGAAAGAAGTCTTCAGCAGTCTTTCCTAGCTATGATTCCTATGAACTACGATAACAATCTACTGAACAAGACATGATCTCTCGTGCTACTATGGCAGGACTGTGACGAACTCAACCTATTGTTTTCTGACTGGATTTGAGGTCACTATACAGGAGGGAAGGCATGCCTGGCACCACAGGTCTAGGCAAGAGCTGGTTGGCTGTGGAAATCGTGGGCCCTGGCTGGGAACCTACTCTTTTTGATAAATGAAGATATTGTCAAGAAGCCTTCCAAACACTCATTTCTATCTAGAGATCTGGGCTTCTCTCAGCCTCTTAACGGGCAGATGTTAATGCAGAGACTCCCCACTGGTAAAGGTGCTTAGAATAAGAGTCAGTGAAGCCTGAACCCTAAGAGGGTTATTTATTTATACCACCTCTTCATGGTCAGGAAAGACGGGATGGAAATATACAAGAGGGAGGACAGGAAGATGTGCGCCAGAAAGATGTCTCCTGGACATGATATTCCACTTTATTCATAAAGTTGCTTCAGTTGCATTTACCTGCACCAGACCTATACAACACTAAAAACTTCAAAGTCTGTCTCGTCAGGCATGTTGAGTGAACCCCATAAGGCCCCGCTCATTCATGGCGACTCTTGCAGTTAATGGCCGCTGAAAGGATGGTGGAATTCACTGCAGTACAGCAACCCTGACAAGTTGCTCATAGGGCAGTGAATAACATTCTGGTGACGCTCATGCCTGCACTCTCCACGAAAGGAAGGACATGGGAGTAAGTGGGGAGGGGACTGGAAAGAAGGATTTCAGCTGGAAATGGAGTTTTGGAAGAAGAAAATGGCTAATGTTCACTCTGTATTAGAGAAGGCAACAGAGGTTGAAAATGGCTGAAATTCATTGTATACATGTCTGAAGCTACCAAGAATAAACAACGAAAAATAAAAAGTTCTTCAACATAAAAAGATGTAGTCTAAATATAGTTAGAATAAAACATAATCATATATATAATTCAATCTCTCCCATAAAATTATGACCTGATACTATAATTTATGTTGAAAATGTTTAATGTATTTTTAGTCAGAGGATAAGAAAAATTATAAACTTTTATAAAATCAGTTCAATTATTATTATGCCCAGAAAATGAGCTATAAATATGAATAATAGGTTTACCCAGAAAATAGTTGCTGTTGTCTTTGCATTATATATCAAATATATCAGGACACAGCTGTCAGACTAACAACGAATGTTCATTATTCTATTTAGTGGAGCAAAATCATAAGGTTCATAATCTTAGCTGAAAACTACCCTGCTTGGAGATCACTAAACTCTTGGGTAAGGCTTTCCCGGCAATATTTTGATATTTCATATGCTAATATCAAGCAGAGCACGAACTACAGAAACTTACAGGAAATTATCATTCTTCAGGATGTTCCATACTCTCAGGAGTTCCTAAGTGGCCTGGAAAAGCTAATGTTGTTCTTATGTATCTAAAATTAGTGGGACCTCAGTGGCCTGGAAAAGCTAATGTTCTTCCCATGTGTCTAAAATTAGTGGAAAGTAACAGTGTATCTGCAAAGCTCTAGTGAAAAGCCAGAAATCATTAAAATTTTAGGATATAGTTGATAAAAATTGAATGTTTAAAATAAAAGTTCCACACTCTTGTCCTCATCTGAAGGCTTGGGCAGTTCCCCAGACTATTACTGCTGTTCCCCCCCCCCCCCCCCCCCCCCCCGCATGGTGTTGCATCAACTTTGACTACTTCAATTTTCGTACATGAACTGGTTGGCTTCAATTTAACAAGTCTTACTAAACCCTGTAATCTGTAGCACAAAATGCAAGTCTATGGAA